TTTTCTGCTGAATCAAAGTGTGTATTGCATAGCCAATTATGATGTACTCAGTAGCTTATTCCTGAATTTCTGAATTAATCACTGACAACGGGTTAGACATTGCCTTAACTATGATTCTCAATGTGTGGCATCACTTGAGAACTTGTGTCAAATACAAATTCTTGGGCCCTATCTTGACATACTTAATTAGAAGCCCTAGAGTGTGTGGCCCAGAAATCTGCGTATAATAAATCATTCAGATTTATTCTAATGCATGCCAAAATTTGGGAATCACTGGTTTAAACTGGAATTTGAGCTGTTGTCAATTGGAACAGGCAAAGGATGAATGCTGAGGAATCAACCAACATGAGCTTTTCAAGGGTCTACTGTGTGAACAACACCAGGCTAAGGGATGCAAATTCATTCATTCATTTGATGGAATTCAGGACATACTGTTCCAGAGTATGGCACCTTGGCATTTCAGGTGACATCATAGGCTGGAGGGTCACTCTCTGACATTCTCCCACCCTTCTCTCCTGAAACATATCATAAAAGAATGATCTGTCCTTCCTCTAAAGTAGATCATAAAGTGAGTGAGTGAAGTAGTACCTGTTGTTTTCATTCAAGTGGTGCCCCCCCATACCTGGAGGAAAAGAATATCCTTATGTCTGAAGATACAGGGATATGGAAGGGTCTGAACAAATAGGATTTCCCTCCTAGGTTCCTCTCAGTTTATTCCATAGGATTATACCCTTTTTATCCAACAATAATATTCCTCCCCAACTATCCACTTCTTCCTCAAACTTAGCAAAGAAATACATAGGTTTGTCCATATCTTTGGCTGCTTATTTCCAAAAACTCCCGTGTCACATTTTTTAAAACTGTATATTGCAAGTATAGTAGTTGGAACAGGCACCTATGTCCCTCCTCTCCTCCACGGACCTTCTTCCCGCTATGCTGTGGACAGGGCTAGTCCTAGTTCTGCGCTAACTTAGCATCTCTCTTCCATCATATTTCAATGTGCCCTGACGGTGGTGGTCAAAGCTAGTATCATTGTCTTAGTGAGAAGAGGCTCAGGTGTTAACTCTAAATAAGGTTCTGAAATAGCCAATTTATTGAAAAAGCTTTATGTAGTACATAACCTAAAAAAGATAATGATGGCCAGGAAAACCTCTCTCAATGGAAAACAAAATTCTAGCAACAGTTACAATAAATCCTTTTCTTACTGAATCAGTGCAAGAGGTAAGTTTGTCATATAATTATTTCTCTGTGCAACTATCACAGGCTATCTCTCTATCATAATAAGTATCAGGCTTGCAATCACTATATTTTGCATAAATATTTTTTCTATCACAAAATGGATAGACTTACCATTTGTAAAAAGTTCATCATGTTGATGCTCGTATCTTCAAAGTTATTCTACCTTCATATTGAGTAGTTTCTCCAAAAAAAGTATCACTCTTAAATAGTCCTAACAGCATCAATTCCAAGCAGGTATAAGATACTGTATTTGTTTTTCACAGCTGGTATAACAAATTACTACAGATGTGGTGACTTAAAACAATAGAAATGTATTCTTTTACAGTTCTGGAGTCTCCTGGCTGTCTGAAGTCTAGTAGGATTATGCTCCCTCTGAGAACTCTAAGGGAGAACATGTCTCTTTCTTGCCTCTTCTAACTTATGCCAAGTGTCAGCATTCCTTAGTTTCTGGCCATCTTTGTATCGCCTTACTCTGTGTGCCTTCTCTAGTTTGTTTCAAATCTCCTGACACTTGTCACTGGAATTAGGGCTCACCCAGAAAATTGAAGGCTATCTCACTTCAAGATTCTTAAATTAATCACATCTTCAAAGACACTCTTTCCAAATAAGGCAGTATTTATAGGTGATGAAAATTGGGATGGGAACATATCTTTTTGGGGTTACCATTCATTCCACTGCAGATATAATACATTTATTGTGGCCATGTTACTTACAGATGCAATATATTCTATTGTGCTTATTTAAATTTAACTTTACAAACATTGTTTTTAATTAGTTTCAATTTCCAAATAATCAAATTTTAACTGCAACTTTTTAAGAAAGTATAAGCCATGTCTTGGTCAATAGATAAAAGTATATATGATATACATTGAATAAATATATATTGCAAGGTATAGGTATATATAGTATATTATATTTTCTTAATATTCATTTACATAAATGACTAAATCTATAACTAAAATGTCATTTATCCAATTAATAAATACTTTATGAGTGTCTATTTTATCGATAACAATACTAGAGACACAAAGAAGTACAAGAGATATTGCCATTCATTATCTCGTGAAGGGTCATCTTCACTCAAATAAATGACATTTGGTATTAATACCTCTTCCTCTTTTATCTTGAGGATTGTTTATATCTTCATAGTGAGGTTGACTCTTTTAACTATGATTATTGACAAACCTACACATTAAAAGTCGCTTAAAGAGCCTGCCCTCATGAATCTACTGTAATTTGCTAGAATAGAAAAGATCCTCCTCATAGGCCACCTATCAAGTTGACTTTTCATAGGGTCTAGACAAGATCAAGTAGGCTGTATCCTATCTCTTTATAGTAACACTCGTTGTAAACATGCAAGAAAATCCTTTAAAGAAGAAGCCTATAACCCCACTGTGACCCCTTGCAGGCTAATGCAATGACGTTAGTGGAAATGCTGAGTGTGTAATGGACACTAGTATTTTTGAGAGACCCACATGACTTTTCTAATTCAATGCATTCACATTATTGTCTGAGTATTCACATTTACCTGTGCCTCATTTACCCCAAAGGAATGTGCAAAATTTGTTATTACTGAATTCATCTTACATTCTTATGTATTAAAAAATGAAGTCATAAGTATAAACTAAGATTAGATTCATGCTATTAAGAGATATAACATAACTATCTGGAAATGTACCACCTTCTCTATGGAAACCTTACTATAAACTATGTGTGATAAAATGACATTATATTTATATGACATTTTTAAGTGGTATGATATTGATTATTTAAAAATATTATTTGACTTGTAATTTCTGTATTGATGAAGCCATTTCCTTCTGTTTAATGTATATTGTTTAATGAAAAGTCAAATCATTCCAGGTGTCATTTACCCATAAAATAAGAGAAGGAAATATGAGATTAGATACAACATTTTAAAAATCTGTATCACTTATTCTTAATAATATAGGTAGAAAAATCTCTAGATAAAAAATATGAAGAGTAATGCTAACATGGTTCTTTCACATGGAACCTAGAGAGTAGAAAAAAGTGAACTTGACATTATAGAATTCTGATTGCTAAACTGGACATCTTCCACTGGGTGGTTTTTTACAGTAATAAGCCTTAATCTGGGATTTTTGCTTGCTTGAGTTTTAGGTGACTAGAGATGGACAGATACCTAAACATACATACATATATAGATAAATTGGTTGATTGAATACTTCTAAGTGTCAGAATTTACTGTATTCAAATTTCATGAGAAAACAAAAATAACATATAATTTACTTACTGAAGCATCATGATGCACACAATCTAATGATGAGATAATATATTAAATAAATTATAATATTTATATTTAAATAAATTAATAGACAGCTGTCAAAGTATGTCACAGAGAATACTTTGACATGGAAAATGGTTCATGATAAATGGTAGAACTAGTTAAACAACATTGCTTCATATAATTTTTAAATTAATGATATATATACTTTCACAAATTACATGATGTTACTTTTAAAAGAGGATATCAGAAATTTATGGAATCCTATGATAAAAATAATAAAATATTATTATACTAAAATATAAATTATTTAAAATTCCACAAAGTCCAAATATCCTTTTATAAATATAATTCTTCATTAAAAGTAATTAGACCTTTTTGGAGAACTGGCTGTTTTGTGGATAAGGTAGAGACAGTAAGTGCTCAAACATGATGGAAACATGTTAAAAAGTCAGAGGGGCAAGCTCTGAGACCTGAATGTAGGGAAATTAAGCATATAAAATGATAACAATGAAGTATAAGCCACTGAAGTAAAAAAAAAATCTATATGTCTATACTGACAAATGAATAGATAGATGATAATGATTAGATAGATAAATAGATGAAAATTTCTTTATACTAAATTTATCAACTCATAAATGTTAAAGCAATGATAGAATTAGAACAACACACTTTCAATCATCATTACTAATAACTAAGTCAGATAAACTAATCAATGAATATCAAAACCAGTGACTGAGAGAAACTGGTGACTAGTTTTTTGGGTTTTTTTTAATGAAGAGCACGACATCTACTCATAATGCACTAAGAAGGACACTATTTTCCCAGCAGAAAGTGAAAAATATGATTCAAAACATGAAGAATATTGTACATTTTCAATTTGAGGGACATTCTACTAAAGAACTGTGGCATAGAATTCAAAATATTGAGGTACTAAAAGGTTAAGAAAATATCGATGCAAGCAGACTAAAGATTAAAGAAAACAATATAATGTATAATTGGGGTTCAGTCCTCAGTGAGCGAGTATAAAGGGAGAATATTGCATATTAGAAGAAAGAAACAGGTCATATTAAATTTACTTATTTGAATAATTATACTGTGGTCATGTTAATGAACTTTTTTTTAGCAAAGAATGAGAAATTTAGGAGTAAATGGGTATCATGGCTACATTTTCGGCTCAAATAATTTTTAAAAGTATATAAAGAGAAAGAGAATAGGACAAAAAAGGAAAAAAAGTGTTAGCATCTGCTGAATGTGAGTAAAAGCATATGGGAATTATTTGCAAAATTGTTGACATTTTTCTGTAAGTTTAAATTTATTTAGTAATAAAATAACAGAAAGGTAAAAATCTTGGGAAGTTAGGAAACTGAGGCTGTCTAATAGGAACAAGCATACAGTCCTTCTCTAAGCTCATTTTCAAATAGATAATGGCAATTTTCATTGATTCTCCAGTACAGACCGTTCTACGTTTCAGCCCTTAACAGACTGTCATTGAGAAATGGGGAGCAACCAATCATGGGTCACAGAATTCATCCTGGTGGGATTCCAGCTCAGTGCAGAGATGGAAGTGCTCCTTTTCTGAATCTTCACTCTCCTATATATCTTCAGTCTACTGGCAAATGGCATAATTTTGGGACTCATCTGTCTGGACCACAAATTACACACCCCCATGTACTTCTTCCTCTCACATGTGGCTATCATTGACATGTCCTATTCTTCCAGCAATGTTCCCAAGATGCTGGCAAACCTAGTGAACCAGAAAAGAATTTCTTTGTTCCATGCATAATACAGATATTTTTGTATTTGGCTTTTGCTGCTACTGAGTGCTTGATCTTGGTGGTGATGTCTTGTGATAGTTATGTGGCCATCTGCCATCCCCTACATTATACTGTCATCATGAGCTGGAGAGTGTGTGTTATCCTGGCTGTCACTTCCTGGTCATGTGGATTTGCCTTGTTCCTGGTATATGCAATTCTCCTTCTAAGGTTGCCTTTCTGTGGGCCCCATGTAGTGATCCACCTCTTCTGTGAAATTCTGTCTGTCCTCAAGTTGGCCTGTGCTGACACCTGGATTAACCAAATGGTTATCTTTGCCGCCTGTGTTTTTGTCTTAGTTAGGCCCCTTTGCTTGATGCTGTTCTCCTACATGCACATTCTCTGGGCCATCCTCAAGATCCAGTCAAAAGAGGGCCTCATAAAGTCCTTCTCTACCTGCTCCTCCCACTTCTGTGTGATCCAGCTCTTCTTTGGCATAGCCATGGTGGTTTATATGGTCCCAGAGTCTAATCAACAAGAGGAGCAGGAGAAAATGCTATCTCTGTTTCATAGTCTTTTTAACCCAATGCTGAATCCTCTCATCTACAGCCTGAGGAATGCTCAGGTGAGGGGTGCCTTCCACAGAACACTGCAAAGGAAGAGGTTCATGTGAGGGGTGGATGGAGTTTTATATAATAAGGCTTTGCTTTTAAAATGTGTTTTGCTGACACAAAAACTCAGAAAAATTTTCTAATTTGATATAAAACCACAATTGTTCTAATTTTAGTTCTGAAAATAGAGCAAAACTATGGTGAAAAATAGTATATTATTGTAGTTTACTCTACCCTTCCCACTGAAAACTCTATGAAGAATGAACCCAGTTTCTGGATTAAATTTCTAGTTTTGGGATTAAATGTTGAGAGTCACTCTTATTTAGAGAGTAGAAGAGATGAAAAAACTATTTTCCCCTGGGATTTTCATTATTTTCTTGGCATTTTTATTGCAAATCTCCCATTTTGAAAGAAAAGCAAATATAATAATCCAAAGCAAACAGAAATAGTAAAATAATATAGATTAAAATATATATAAATAAAATAGAAAAGAGAATTAATAAATAAAATTAATGAAAATAAAGACTATTTCTTTGAAAATATCAACAAAACTGACAAACTTTAACTAAATTTACCCAAAAAGAAATAAACACTCAAGTTACTAAAATAAGTGATGTAAGGGAACATCATTACCAACTTCATATGTATAAAAAGGATTATAAAAGAATACTGCAAACAACTGAATGTGAACAATTAGAAACTCGGATGACAGGAAAATTCCCAAGAACAACATAATCTACCACCTTTCTCAAAAGTAAGTAGATAATCTGAATAGACTTATAACAATTAAAGAGATTGAATTAATAATTTTAAAACTTTTACCAAATAAAGCCATCAACCACATTGCCATAATGGTAGGATATACTTAATTTTTAAAAGAAGAATTAACATTAATTCTCAAACTCTTTGAAAAACATAATGTTTCCTGAGTTATTCTGAGACCAGTATGACTTTGATAAAGACAAAGACATCACAGGAAATAAAAACTACAGATCAATTTTCTTATGAATATAAAGGTGAAAATCCTCAAAAAATACGACAAACCAAATCCAGCAAACGTTAAAAAAATTAAACATCATTACCAAGTGAAATTTATTCCAGGAAGGCAGTGTTGTTTTAACATTCTAATAACAATTCAAGTGAAATATCATGCCAATAAAATAAAGGGGAAAAAAATCTCATTACACATAATAAAAGCATTTGACAATTCCAACACCTTTTCATGATACACACACACACACACACACACACACACACACACACACTTAACAACCTAGAAATATAAATAAAATTCTTTAATCTGATGAAGGAAATAATAAAAAATAGCTAAAATAATAATGTTAAAGACTAGATTTTCCCCCATAAGGTAAGAAACATGATCAAGAAAGTCTCTTGTTGCTTCTATTCAGTATTGTACTGGGAGTTCTAAGCAGAGCAATTCAGTAAGAAAAAGAAAAAAAAATGGCATCCAGATAAGAAACTAATAAATAAAACTCTATTGTCAGCTGAAATAATCTTGTATATACAAAATTCTAAGGAATTTGCTACAAATCAGTTAGAACAAATAAAATAAGAAAGTTAAAAGTTATACACAAAATCAACTGTATTCCTGTCAATAGGTGAGCTGAGCTTGGGACAGCTGGTTTCCAGGTAGCTGAGTATTCAACTAAAGCAACAAGCCAAAATGAAAGCAACTGTCAAGGCTTTAATTATTTACTGTGATAGCATAAACAAAAGACTGAACCAAAGTAAATTCCAACTCCCACACTCTTTCATTTTTCCCTATGGAACCACACTGGACAAATGTCAAAGGGTCAAGGCAGAAGTAAGGATCATCTCACTGCAGAAGGAGCCCCAAATGAAAGGTCTGATGTTTACGAACCTGAGAATACAGGAGTGAGAATAAGAGGGAAAGGAAAAGGACTGGAAGTGGAAAAACACTGAATACTGAGTGAGGACAGAGAAAAGGTGTCTTCTTTTTTAAAAATAATTTACCTTTTTATTTCAAGAATGTGGGGTACAATTCAGGATTAGATATACAAATGATCATTGCACAGGTAAAGTTTGAGCCCTCAAATTGGTCCCCACTTCACCTGGTTTGAGATCAGATATCATTATGATGAGGTGTGCCCCACCCAGAGCAGTTTCCCATTACTGACAATTACTTTTTTGTAGTATTATGGTAACTGCTAAGGGTAAGCTTAGGAGTGAAAACATGTGGCACTCAGTTCTTTGTTTCTGTGATAGATCACAGAGTATTATAGACTATAAATCCATCCAAGTTGCTTCAAAGTTCATAATTCTGGCCTTCTTGATGGCTGCACAATATTCCATTGTGTATATGTACCACATTTTTTTATCCAGTCCACTTTTGATGGCCAGTACAGTTGGTTCCATGTTTTTCTATTGTGAATAATGCCACAATAAACATGTGTATGCAGGTATCTTTTTCATAGAGTGATTTGTGTTCCTCTGGGTATGTTCCCAGAAGGGGGATTGCTGGGTCATATGAAGCCAATTTTTAGATCTTTTAGGTATTGCCACATTATTTTCCACATTGGTTGTACTAGTTTACACTCCCACAAACAGTGTAGAAGTGTTCCCCTTTCCCCACATCCTCTCCAGGATCTGTTGTTTTTTGAGTTAATGATGACGACAACTTTGACTAGAGTTAGCTGATATCTCAGTGTGGTTTTAATTTTCATTTCTTTGACGATTAGTGAGACTGAGCACTTTTTCATGTATCAGTTGGCTGCACATATGTCTTCTTTTGAGAAGTGTCTATTCATATATTTTGCCCAATTTTTAATAGGGCTGTTTGTTTTTTTTCTTTTTGGCACATTTGAATTCCTTATAGACCTAGATGTTAGGCTTTTGTCAGATATACAGTTGGTAGACATTTTTTCCCCTTCTGTGGGCTGTTTCTCCCACTCTTTTAATGGTTTCTTTTGCATTGCAGAAGCTTTTCAGTTTGATGAGGTCCCACATGGCAACCTTATCTCTTATGGCATGAGCATTTGGCATTTTGATCAAGAATTGGTCGCCAATTCTAATTTCCATAAGGGTGTTTCCTGCATTTTCTAATGTTCTTATAGTTTAAGATTTTACATTTAGGTTTTGATCCATTTAGAGTTTATTTTTGTGTATGGTGATAGGCAGGGGTATTATTTTAATCTTCTGCATGTGGTCAACCAATTTTCCCAGCACCATTTACTGAATAAGTTCTCCTCTCCCCAGTGGTTGTAAGTGGAGGCTTTGTCGAAGATGAGTTAGTTGAGAATTTGAGGGTTTGCTACTGGAATCTCTATCCTGTTCCATTGGTCTATATGCCTTTTCTTGTACCAATACCAGTTGTTTTGATTATTGTAAACTTATAAAAAAGTTTCAAGTCTGGAAGTGTGATACCTCCTGCTTTGTTTTTCTGTTTTTGTTTTTGTTTTTTTTTTGCTGAGGATTGTTTTGGCTATTCATGGTCATTTATGTTTCCTTATGAATTTCTGTATTGTCATGTCTAGGTCTGGAAAGAATGATGTTGGTAATTTAATGGGTATTGCATTAAATCTGTAGATTGCCTTGGGTAAGATGGGCATCCTAAAAATATTGATTCTTTCTGGAAGCAGTCATTTTAAATCTGCCTTGTAGAGATGGAGACTGAGACTTGGGGACAAAGGTATTGATTTGTCTCAGGGACTTGTTGAATGCAATGGCAAAAGCACACACAGCATCCAGGCACCAGAAGTGAGTTCCTGTAATGAACCTGTGTCCTCCTCAGGGGAAGATGATGGATTGCTTTTCACTGGTCTATGAGATTGCTAAAATCTCAAAGCAAGACGATACCCTTGTAATCTGACCACATGTATTTCATGATTTATAAATGGCCCTCTGACCTAGTAATTCCTGTGCTAGTAATCCAAAGCAAATCATGGGGAAATGTTAACAGTGTTGTATTATGTAGAAAAATGAGAGACAAAATTATATATATAATGACATATATATTTAAATATATATATAATCTCAAGAGTCTTTTAATGCACATGTACACAATTGGAAGAAAATACACAATTGGAAGAAAATACGCAGTGATTATCTCTGAGTGGTGGGGTTGTATATGACTTTAATTTTCTGCTTTCTGTACTTTTCAATGTTTCTTTAGTAAACATCACTTTTATGATAACAAAATATTGATTCTTCCAATCCATGAGCATGGAATATTTTTCCATTTGTTTGTGTCATCTTTGATTTCTTTGAGCAGTGTTTCATAGTTTTCATTGTAAAGGTCTTTGACTTCTTTGGTTAGGAAGATGCCAAGGTATTTCATTTTTTTTGTTGTTGTTGCTATTGTGAATGAAATTGTGCTTTTTTGTTCTGCTTTGTGTGTGTATAAGAATGTGACTATCTTTTACATGTTGATTCTGTACCCTGAGACTTTGCCAAAGTTCCTTATCAGTGCAAGAAATTTTTAGACAGATTTTCCTGGATTTTCAAGGTATAGAACCATATTGTCAGCAAAGAGGGATAACTTGACTTCTTCTTTTCCTATTTGAATGCCCCTCGTTTCCTTCTTTTTTCTGATTGCTCTAGTCAGGACGTCCAACACTATGTTGAACAGGAGGTGTGATAGTAGGCAGCCTTGTCTTGTTACAGTTTTGGGGGAAAATGCTTCCAATTTCTGTCCATTTAGCAATATGTTGGCAGTGGGTTTATCATAGATGGCTCTTACGATTTTGAGGTTTGTTCCTTCTATAATTCAGTGTTCAAGGATTTTTATCAAGAAGGGATGTTGGATTTTATCAAAAGCTTTTTTTGCATCTAATGATATAATCATGTGATTCCTGTTTTTACATCTGTTGATGTATTTAATTATATGTATGGCCTTGTGGGTGTTGAACCAGCCCTGAATCCCAGGGATGAAACTTACTTGGCCATGGTGGATGATTTTTGAGACATGTCACTGGACCCATTTTGCTGGAATCTTGTTCAGTATTTTTGCATCTATGTTCATCAGGGATATTGATTTGTATTCTCTTTGTTGGATCTTTACCTGGTTTGGGCATCAGTGTGA